CAATCAAAGCCTCTGACTCCAGAAAGCAAAGGTAATATCACCCTGTAAAACTGTAAAATTAATGCTACACTAAAAGATATAGTCTAGTGAAAAAGTGTCAACCAAACTTACAATTTGTGATATTTCCTGGTAGTCTTGCAGTGGAAACATGGTGAAAATCTTTTGCAACAAAACCAAGACTGGGAACATTGGAGATAGGCTGATTTTTTTCTGTGCTTATTTTCAAACATAAACTGAAAGATTTCACCAGCTGTGAGAGTCTAATCTCATATTGCTCTAAGGATAGATATTCAAGTAGATTAGTTTTCAGAAGTTATTTTTCTGCCTCCCTGTACCTTTCTGCCTGTTATTGCATATGCTATATAGAGCTCAAATACAAACAGGACAGGCAAGTCATAAATATGAAAAGTTAGTCTATAAAAACCCAATTGATGGTAAGAGAGAACTGTGGAGATCCAGTGGCTAAGTATAAGATAAGTGACATTGATTTAGTAAATGCTAATATACCCATATGTAATTAATCAATCAAAGAACATTAGGTATTTCAACTATCAAGAACGTAATTTGTAACAAGAGGTTACTTTAAACATCTAAAATGCATGTTTTTCCCACTATGTTATAAAATAAGTGATTTTGTGTAATAATTACTCAGACCTTGAACTGTATCCTTCTGTCAGAAAAACATTTCAGTTCTTTCACCTGGCATATTAGAAATCTCTAGGGAAAGCATGAAGACTAACATAAAGGTCTGCAGCTGAATTTGACCTGGAGGCAGTGGTTTGCCCCAGTAAATAGCCCATCAAGCTCACCTGCAGCAGCTGAACTAGAGAAGCTCCAGCCTTGTGCTAGCAGAGTATCTGCAGAAAACATATCTAAGTCAGCAGAGGTATAGACTCACTGTTTTGCTGAACTTTGTAACCAGACAATTCAAAATGAAAGGTATGAAATGTATGAAAATTGCTTTGGCTTTTCCAGTAAGGATAGTGTTGACAAACTGACACTTTAGAGGATGATAGCAGGTTTTCACTGATGTAGTTTGTGAAAGTAGCAAAGGCAGCAAATGAGGCTTCATTGCAGAGTAAGTCCATCCTAACATGTAAAAAGCAACTCTTTTTTTATTTGCAGATTATGAAAGACTGGTTTTCCGAGTCAGAAATGATCTTGTACATCTGAAAAGTCAGACTTCTTTCCAGTTAATTTTTTCCATACCCTCACTGGCCATAATGCCACAAGCTGATGAAATAATGCCATACTTTATTTTGCCCTCCTGTGTGTTTCAGTTGAGACATTTTAAGAGAAAGAAACATCAGTGAGGTACTAGGGTGGTATGAAAAGCATTAACAAATGAACACTTGCGTGCAAGCGCACCGCATTCATATAGAATGACTGCAGGAGATTGTGTGACCAGATCCACACAGAGAACACAATGGGGAATCCTTTCTCCAGTATGATTTTAAAGGCTTGCATGAGTTGTTTGTTTGGTTTGTTTCTTTTGGTTCCTGAGCAGGCCAAGTTTATAAAAATCTGTAATTTTTATTTTGGCAAAACTGAGGATCTATAGGACTGACAGACCAAATAGCAACTGAGGTTGCTGCTCCTTTGCAGTCGCCCAGGCTGGAGAGAAACAGCTCCGTAGAGAAGGTCTGGGGCAGTCACCTGGTGATGTTCAGCTGCAGCAGAGCCCCCCGATGCCCCGGTCTGTGTGAACAGGAGCATGGCCAGCCGGCCGAGGGAGGTGATAATCCCCCTGTGCTCAGCACTCACGGCTCAGCAGCAATGCCGTTTGTCCGGTTTGGGCAGCCCCAGCAGGGGAAACTCATCAATAAACTGGAGCAAGTGCAGAAGAGGGCACCGAGGTGTCCAAAGCTGCGGCGCTGCCCTGCTCTGCAGGCTGAGGGACCAGGGCCAGTCAGCCTTTTCGAGGGAGAGCAAAATGTAGCCCTCAACACCCACAGGAAAGCCATCAAAAAGGTGGAGTTACACTTTTCACAGTAGATGCTGGGAGGAGAGACAGCAGGTATGAGCTGAGAGAGTATTTTAGATTAGGTATAAGAGGAAAAAAAATCATCCTGATGGTAATTTTGCATTGGAGTATGTTTCCCAGAAAGACTGTGGGAAAGATTGGGGTTTTTCACATCTGTACAGGACAAAACAATCTCCTCTGGTGTCATGGCTGACCCAGCTGTGATGAACAGTCTGGACGGGAAATTTACTCAAGTCACTTCCAGCTGGAATTATCCTTTAATACTATGGTAATTTCTAAAAAAAATCTGCAAAATCTCCCTATAAAATTAGTCTGCTATTCTTACCACTGTGAAGTTTTCCTATTGTCTAATGTGAATCTCTTCTACAATTCTAGCACATAAGCTCAATTTTTTTTCCACTATGCCCTATGTCTTTGCAACAACTTGCTATGTTTTGAAGACTGTTACCATGCTATTTCAGGACTGCTTAGAATTTTTCTATGTGAGTGTGTCTTCAGGCCATTAAGTGCCCCATTTCAATTTGTTCTATTTTTTGGGCTACCCTGTGTGTCGGTTTTCTTGGAGATTTCTGAGTATGTTTAGAGTATGCAGTGTAATAGAGCAGGATTACACTCAGCTAGCTTTTAAGTTTTTCTCTAGTCCATATTTCACTGATTTTCTTTGTAAAAGTTTTCACAGTGCATTTTTTCTCCTAGTTCTCCTAGTCCTGTAGTTCCTAGGCTACATATAATATGATTGTGCAATGCTTAAGCTGCTTCTGAAGTGAAACTCACAGATTTTGCTCTCTTGCCTTTTTACTTACAAGAAATGATTAAACTATAATTATTATGGTAACTCATTCTGTGCAGCCATCCACAACTGTAAGCCCTATGACTGTTCCCAACTTGCATGTCTGCAGCTCTTACGTTCAAGTTTATTCTCGGTGGAACAGCATTAAGCTAGTTTCTTCCTTCTCCTCACTTGTTTTCCAGCTATGTTTTTTCCTTTCTTTTTTAACATCATGAGCTGCTCGCTCATTTTCTTTGTTCCTCAGAAGGTTTTACCTCTTCTATAAACACAAACATGAGCATTTTTTCTGAGGCTACTTTTTCCTTCCATTCCTTGAATTCTGCTGTCAGAAAAACAATTTTACTTCAGTGCCTCAAGATGAACGCTCTTATTTATCAATCTTTTCTATATTTAAACAATATATACTCCTAGAGTGACAGTGAATGTAGCACAGGAGAGATTGAAGGGGTGAAGTTGCTTTCTGCCTGAAGCCTGTCAGAGCTATGTCAGCTCTGCACTTTGCCTTGGGATCAGCATCCCCAGTTGCACTGGTTATTCTGCCTATGGTATGGCAGATGAGGAAGCACGACTCATCCAACATATTACGTAAGGACAGATGTTTTCAGCTTACTCAGACATTAGAATTAGGACACTATAGGATGCCCTGTACAAGAAAGATAGCAACATCAGGATATGAACAAGAAATTGAAGACATTAGTGTGGCATGTGTTGCCGTAGCTGAAGCCTAAGTAGCATAAAGAACAACAGCATCAAAATGTAGAAAGAGAAAATTTGGAATGAGCTTGCAATTGGAATAAGGGCATGGGGGGTCCACTAAGATCCACACCTCTAAAGCATCAATATTGCCCTGCTGCTGGACAGGTAAAACATAACTTAAAATCACCCCCTGCAATGCAGTCACCCCTCCTGCTGCATTGAAGAAATAGCTTGGAGGCTTTCTTTCAAAAGGGAAGAAATTCTTTGGGTTGTTCTGGATTTACTGCTACCCAGGCAAAATTACAACAGGCAAATTTAATCACATGGTGCCACTAAGGCACTTGGGCAAAGTTCCCTATAAAACCTGCCCATTTTCTTCAGAACAAGTACAGATGCAGCAAATTTTGCAGTTTTTTCCACACATACCCCTTATATATATATATATATTGTTTTGAAAAGTCACAATACCCCATGTTTACTTCAATTTTTAGGGTTCCTTTTACTAATCTCACTAAATATAAAAAGAGTTGTAAGTACTCTGTGCCTATTGAGCTGCTACTAATGGGAGGACAAATTAACCTTCATTTTATTTCAGTTAATTCTAAAACATCTACATCTTGTAAACATGTGAAAATTTTACCATTTCTGTTATTTGGCAATTATTTTAATATTTGTGGTCCTACTACATACACATGGGTTTTGTCAAGGGGAACTGACTGCAGGAATCACAGAATTTTGTGACCTTTGACCTATGCCATTGCCAACCTTGGAAATACAAGCCACTAAATTGTTATGAATATGTCTGCAGAACCTCTCTGATAAGTATAGCCAGTCTCGTGCCAAATATCATCTGGTGCAAGATAAATTATGGAATAAAAAGGCAGACTGAATGTGTGCAACCTGAATTTATCAAAATGTACTCTTTAGCCTGAAATGCCAGTGCCAAACCACACTGAAGTGGGACACAGTCCCATGGAGTTAAAAACCAAAGCTCAGTAAATGCTGTTGCTGAATAATCTACAAATATATCTTAGTCGTCACTCAGAACTGTAGCCCAGTCATAGTGGAGATAAATTCCTTAAATACTGAAGAGCTGGAATATTCAGAGTAATTGACTATCATGCACCTGTAAAGTGACCAGTTTCAACTATTATCATAGATCTATTTTTGATATAGAAAAATAATTCCCTGTCCCTGTTCAGGCCAAGGCCTTGTTGAAATTCCCAGATGGAACTTCTTAGTTCTGTGAATATTAGTCCAGTAGGAAGAATACTGAAACACATGATGTTAATTAAAAATCAGTCACAAAGTAACAAAGATGGTATTTTGCTACCAGCCCAGACTGGTTTGAAAACCCCAATTTACCACTGAAATAAGTTGTTCTGTAACATCTTGCAAGACTTCTTAAATTACTACAAGTAGTATGCCATCACTTACATTTATTTCTCTTATTGGGAAAGATATCACAGCACTCTACACAGCTACCTGTACTAATGTCTATTTCCTTGGTTTTGTTGTTTTCTTTCCTAGGTTTTCTCCCTTATCTGAGCAAGTGAAACACTGAGAAACATGCCTGAGCAAAGCAATGATTATAGGGTAGTTGTGTTTGGAGCTGGAGGAGTGGGAAAAAGTTCTTTGGTCTTGAGATTTGTGAAGGGCACTTTCAGAGAGAGCTACATCCCTACCATTGAAGACACCTATCGGCAGGTGATCAGCTGTGATAAGAGCATATGCACTTTGCAGATAACTGACACCACAGGGAGCCATCAATTTCCAGCCATGCAACGTCTCTCTATTTCTAAAGGACATGCTTTTATTCTGGTTTACTCTATCACCAGCCGACAGTCCTTGGAGGAACTCAAGCCAATCTACGAACAAATATGTCAGATAAAAGGAGACATAGAAAGCATTCCAATAATGCTGGTGGGAAATAAAAATGATGAGAACCAAAATCGAGAGGTAGAAAGCAGTGAAGGAGAAGCCATGGCTAAGAAGTGGAAATGTGCCTTCATGGAGACCTCTGCCAAGACAAACCACAATGTGAAAGAATTATTCCAAGAATTGCTAAACCTGGAGAAACGCAGGACTGTGAGTTTGCAAATTGATGGCAAAAAAAGCAAGCAACAGAAAAGGAAGGAGAAGCTGAAAGGAAAATGTGTGGTGATGTGAAATTGCTCTGTCAGAAATCAGCTGTGAAGTCTCATCTGACACTACGCATGTAAAACCCATAGACAGCATACAACCATGCAAGATCCTATTTCTTAATACCTGTTTTAAAAGAAATATTTGGAAATTGAAAAAAATTAGGTACTGTGATTGCTATGAAAATAACTGAAAAATAAAAATGTATGTACTCTCACAATTAATATAAGTAAATCAGGAAGAAAACAAAATATATCCCAGAAGACCTTATTTTGTAATTAACAAAAAATAGAAAAATTTTCATCATTCACATAATATGAAAGATCTGGAAAATCAACTTAATATTATCTGCATTTGCATATAATTGCAAGAGAAAGCAATGCATAATATCAGAAGAAAAACAAAGAAATAGTTGTGAAGAAGCCTAAAACATACAATTGCATGCTGGATGGTGTTAATAATTTCCTTCAAGAATGCTGTGGATGAACAATTCTATGCCATTTCATTACTGACTGGTAGGAGAGTGTCCATAAGACAGCCTTGGATCACCTGAATAAATGAACTCTTGCACAGTTATAGGAAGTGTGGGGATAGAAGTTAAATGGAACAGATGTTGCCTCTATCTCCCCACATGATACTACTTTCTCGTGTGATGCAGTATTTTAACTTAAGGTTAAGTGGAAAAGCCAATCCCTGCAAGAGAGTTGGAGATCATCTTTTCTGGGCTCATTGCTTCAAGAATGACCCAAGTTTCTGCCCCATATAAATTTCAGAAGAGCAGACATTTGTTTGCGGAGACTGCCAGATGGAACGGTGTACGTATAAAAGCAGAAAGCTTCTCCAGGGAGAACTGACCGGGAAGTTCCCTACAAAAGCCTCTGTGGGAGAGACTCAGTTCTAATGCTGCTGCTGGTTAACTGAACACGTGGTGTGGTTAGAGAATGAATGGAATGTCTTTTGAACTGGTGGTACCCTTGAAGAGGGGTTGGCATAATATACAAATTATCAGATTAGCTGAGTGATGCTTCTTTACATTACTTTATTGGAAGGGTTTATGTTCATGCCCTATGAGATCTTCTGCCTTTTTATTGTCTGAAGTATTTTATATTTGCCATTTAAACTCATGATTTGAACTGCTGTGACTATTTATAGAACCAAATATATGTCTGAAGTTAGTGCCCATAGTCTCTAAAAGGATTTTTGGGGGTAAATGCTACAGGATCTGGCATATTAAGAGTTGCAGTCAGGACTATAGTGCAATACAAAGTTCAGAACAGAAAACACATTATCTAAAACATCCTGTCAGGGGAAACTGCTCTTCTCAAAACCTTTGAAAGGGGAAAAACACTAAAAATTGTGAGTTTTCCTGGATGTCTCTCCAAAGCTTTTGAAAAAACTAATATAAATGACTGAAGTATGTGTCCTAGTGATGACAAAGGCCATCTAAGATAAAATAAGCACATACAATTTTTAAATGACACATTAAAATTGTGTAAGTCACAATTTGTACCTTAGGAACTGCTTTGAACAAATAAAAAGAGCCTACCATATTTTTAGTAAATGTTTATGTCAAGAAACATGGCAAAATGAAGTCAAATACTAATACTATTAGCCTGCATGCTAGTGCGTTATAAATATATTCCAGGGGATGCTCAAATGCAGTGGTTGCATTAAAAATTGTTACCTTGTTCCTTTCAGAGTTATTGCTTGCTTTCCTTCCACCTTTCTAACAAATGTGCAGACATTTCAGAGGTAGAGTAATAGCATACACAAGAATTGCTACTAGAAAGGAGCACAACTGTCATTCAGTCAGAAGAAATTCTGGCAAAAGTAGAATCGAGTGTGAAATTCCTACTGATTTCAGAGACAATTTTTTTTGTGTGTGTTTATTTCATTGCATTAAGAAGAGAAAACTGGAAAGAGCATGGAAAAAGCTAATGCTCTTCATAAACAGTAAATTCCAGGCTCTTACACAACATTCTTTCTTCATAAATCTCAAAGCACTTTGCAAAAATGACAACATCATTTTCTTAACTTCTCAGGTGGTGAAAGTGAGGCACAGAGGGAGGTAACAACTGCATATAGATTGCCCAGCAGGATAGTGACAGACCCAGGAACAAAAGTGGATCTCCTCTGTCACAGTCCAGTGCTCATTCTGTGTTTTGTCAGACTGTCTCCTCACATTCATAAATAGTTCCTGAAACACAAAAAGAAGCCTGGTTTGACCTATCCAGCCAAGTGCATCTTTCTTGACAGTCTGTCAATAGATCAAAAAGTATTTCCAGATCAGGGATGCAAAACACTTAAAAGCACTATGTTTAGTAAGACTTTTATAAATCTTTATACATTTAATCTGTTTGTAAGAAAATTTGCTGATGATACTCAATGTCACAGCAATGGATTCCATTGATGAAGCTGTAAAATCAGAAAAATGATCAACATTAAGGCATAATGGGTCACATACAGAGGTCAAAAGTAGAGAGGTTGTCCTCAGATGCTAACACACCAGTGCCAAAGGTCATCATCTGTGGCACATGCCTTAGCAGCCAGCATACAATTATGAAAAAATCTCAAAGAGAAAAATAAAAGCTATATATAGAACCTTTTAACATTATTGCTTGAACTGGGGGAAATATTTACATAGTAAAATATCTTGCAGAAGTACAATATAGGGGATCTGAATTACTTAAAATGTACTGACTGCAAAGATATTACAGGCTGAAATTTAGCCCTGGACTTTTTTTTTGAATGTGCCTCATAGCAAGAATAGAATAATTGTATAGCAAAGATGGCAATTAAACAAGTAGCTGCCAATGTTAGGCTTGAGGACCATATTTCTTTAGTTCCCAGCTGAATCCTCACCTGCTACATAATAAGCCATGAAGCATTTCATGGACTTGCATGTATCAAAGCAAGGCCAGAACAGAAGCAATATTACTCAAGGACCACAGACTCAAAAGAGAGCATATTTTATACCCTTGCATTGCCATTCTAGTTTCTACTATTAGATTTTACATATCTTGCAAATATGTGAGCTGGTTTAAAATGTTTGTTTTGCTATTACATATAGAATTATTTTTTTTAATATGGAAAAAAATAAGCTAGATCAAAAATATATAAAGCTTTATTACATTTTGTGTTTTATTTGGGAATGTGGTATCACTATAATAACCTGTTTAAAATGTATATACAAAATGTTTAAAACATGTAAGTTCTGCAGTGAATTTTAGCACCCAGAAAACAAAATCTAGCCAAAATGAATCTTTAAAATGCATGACTTTTATATGTAGATATGAAATATTATGATGTATTGTTGTCATGAAAATGTGTTGCTGCAATTTCTTTAGCCAATATTTTGTTTCAAAACTGGATAGAAATCATTCGTGTCTACTAGTTTCCATGTTTGTGGTGATGTTCTGAATATTCAAAATAAAGTTTTAAATCTTAACACGAGTTTGGAAGAAGTCTTGTTAGCGCCTGCATTTTGTTTGCTTCACATTATATATTTTTTAAAATTGTAAAGGTAACTCTCAAAATCAAAACAGACTCTCAACGTGCTAGACAGTGTCCCAAAGTCCTCAGCTATACAAATCAGTTCTGAAAGAACTGGAGCAGTATTACCTTAGCTAATACTTACTCTTCTGTTTTACTCTGGCAAACACACACCTTTCAAAACAATCTACCTTCATTAAAAAAAAAAAAACCCAAACCAAACCAAGCCAGCTTCTCAGTGGGTGCTCCTTTTGGCCAGTAAAAAGCAAAATAATTCTGGAATCTACTCTATATTTTATTATTTGCTTTAAAATAATGGCAGATAGGATGTGTGCTTGTGAAAAATTGATACTTTAGGTATGGATCCTGCTATTCCTGCTCATTTCTAAAAAATTCCTAATGTTCTTGCAAAACTTCCTACTATTGCATTCTATATTACCACCTGTTGCAAAATATGTCAAAAAATAATACTTTATCACTTCTTGCAATTCAGAAAATGGAGCCACAGTAGTTCGGTTAAATAATTAAATATTTGCTTCCATTTGCAAGCAATAATTCAGATTCAACAGAGGAAGGGATCAAAAATCTGGACTACATAGACAAAATTATAGGTATTTTAACCAGTGATGAAGTATGGACCAGTAAACGTTCATTTCAAGTCACTGTGAAGAAATTGCATTTGTCAGCCAATAAAGCTTTCTATTTTTAGTAAAGAGCTCTTACTAATTCTTACTATTCTTTTTATTTTTTTCTTTCAATATGCTATAAGTTACTGCTCTTGTCCTAATTCTAACACAGTCTATGGTAAAGCAGTGGATGTGCCAATTTATTGTTCTAGGTTTTACAAAATACAGTCATTAATTACTTTATAGATGTTTGTTATATCACATTCCACAGAAACACCAGAAACATTACAAAATTCCCCTGTTTGGTTTTTTTTTCCCCATTGGTTACTACTCTTGTTTCCCAGTGGAAAATATTTTAATTTTTAACTCATACCCTCATTCAAATTTGTGAATACCTGTCACACTTATTTCACTGGCATTTTAACTGACATGTTTCGTCCACCTTTAAAGCACATTTTCTAATTAATCCATGAATTTATTTCATGTAGTCGAGTGTGTCTAAAGTTTATCTCCACTACAACTGCAAAGAGAGGGAGAGCAGAGCCTTGAAAATACAAATTGGATGTTCCCTGTGAATGATGCAGACTCTTCAGTAAATTAACCAGATGTATATGCAGTTTAAAGAAATCATTAAAACTCTTTTGTTTCATATAATTTATCTTTGTTGAGTATGCTATTTTATAATGAGTCATAGGGGTCCCACTAAAATAATAATAAAATTGAAGTTCAAAGGAGTAGTTGTTATTCAGTCTGATATATTTATTTCACACTCAGATGCCAACAAGTGGCCCACAACAGATCCTACAGGATCATCTCTATTCTCGGATTCTCAGATCATAGTGCAGCTGGCAAGGGAAGGGCAGGGACACAGCACCACAATCCACTCCAAAACTAAAGTCACCTTCTCAGCCTCTACGCCTGGTGCTCTAAAAGCTGTGGATGAGTGTCTGTTACATGGAAATTACCACTGTATTTGTATTAATTTCAGTGGAGAAAGCAAGAGAAGTAGAATTGGTATTCTTCCATAAGAGATATATGGCAAATATTTCTTCTGATATATAAGA